TGCTGTGACAAGGCTCACACTGGAAATTACTCAGTCCTGCTGTTAATTTTTAAGCATTGCCCCTTATACACTAACATGGTACCAGGCTAGGGGTGCAGAGGGAAACCCAGGAAAGGACTTATGGTGGATGAATACTTAAGCGCTCACAGTCACAAGTTGGTTTCAGACCAGATGGTTTTCTGAGATGCACCATTAATCCGCACTGCATCTCAAGGTAGTCTTGGTGTGCCAGGCCTTTCCACAACACCAAGAAAACAGAGGCCTATCTGCAGAAACTCCATCCTATCTTGTAACTTCTAAATATTGGCAAGGAGCTATCTGGTACACAACATAATAAAATCCTACTGAAAGTAGTAGAGTCTATTGAAAGTAACATTTTGTCAATTGAAGGCTGTGACCTAACAAAGTCATAAATTCAATTTAGTAGGTCAGGACATTTTCTGTTTAATAAGATAGAATAGAATAAACCAGAAGAGAGACTACAGAGTATCACATGTAGACACGCAGTAAAGGTTAAGTAGTTTCACAAAGCTGTGTACCTGTGTACGTGTGTGTGTGCACATGCATGCACATGATGTGTGGACTAGAAACTAATATAAAGAGTATTTATTATTCTAGACACAGACAAAACTTTTGAAAGTCTCTGACTTAGGAAAACAACTATAATTAAACTTCTAGGGCACTGAAGAACCTAAAACATTCATAACATGGTTCCACTTTATATGAAGATTCTTTCCCCCACTTGCAGCAAACATGTATTGTAGAGAAAACTAGCTCAACTTTCTCAGAAACTAGAGGAAAGTTTACTAATTTTTTTACTAATTGGATTTTTGTTCAGACTTTTATTAGTTGGAGTTGGAACGTAACATTCAAGATTTTTAAAGTCAGTGGCATAACCTTTCCCTGGTTACAATGACGTAAGAACACAGATTGACTCGATAAACCAACACATACCTCAGAGTGTGGATGTAACCAGGGCCTGATGATGCAAAAAAATGTTGAAGAAGAGAAACCCCAAACTTTCCAGCTTCACAAAACATCAATAACACAGATGAGACACGATATCTCAAAATTTGCTTATGAATCAAACAGAACTGGCATCTTTATGACAGAACAACATTCAGGCGTTTATACTAAGGACAAAAAATTGGACTTGGGAAGCTAGCAAGGAAAATATCAAAAACACTTTTATACTAGGAATAGAGTGTGTTCATTAACTCAGTAACAAAATTACTCTAAGGTAGAAACCAAAGTTCTTTTTCCAGGAAGTCCAAGCACCTTATGTACTTTCTATTGGTGAAATTACTTTAAGGTAGAAATCAAAGTTCTTTTTCCAAGAAGACCGAGCACTCTATGTACTTTTTATTGGTGAAAAAAAATTGTGTAAATAAATAACTACCAGGCAAGATGATCACAGCAACCAAACCAAGCAACAGCCACAACCACCCACGAAGGTAAATTCACAAACTGCCTTTTATATGCTTTGTAAAAGAATCCCCAACCAATCAAGACTAAAGCAATACACACCTGTGTTCAGGTAAGAATTCCGGTTTATCTCAAAATGGAATCCAGAAACATCAGATACCCAGTTTCTACTTTAGCTGAGGCATTTCTAGTTACAAAGTGAAAGAGAACCATAGGGACTAGAGGCAAGGAAACTATACCAACAGTAACATATTCATTGCATTTTCTCTTTTCAAGTTTATGGAAAAGACAAAAGTCAAGTGGTACAGTTTATTGAAATCTCAACTGCTTATAGCTTTTGCTTATAAATGAGTTTTCTTTCAAAGGATAAACATACACTGACAATTTACTTGTACCACTAAAATTATTTTAACCAGTGAACTGATTAGCTTTTATCTTTGTACGGTGCCTTTTTCAACCATGTACAAAAGTTTTATTAAGCTATGTCTTAAAAACAAACAAACCTAAAATACTACAAGTGCACAATTAGTCATGCAAGCAGCATATTTAGAAACATGACTGAGTCCCCACAGACTACCATTACTCTACTGACTTACAAGATGGGATCAAAAAGCTCTTAACAAAGGGAAGGCAGAACAGAGAAATACGGAGACTCATTATCTCCTCTCTCCTTATAGCTTATCCCCTCCTTTGCCCTCTAGTTTATTGCCACCTTCTTCCATTATCTTCCATTCATTACCACCCTCAACACAGTCTTTTTCAAAAATAAGAGGCCAGGAAAATGGCAGGGTAGAGTCCCTCTTCATTCCACCAACCCTAATGAGTGCCCACTCTGGGAAAGGCCCTGAGGGCCAGGTCACTCCAGGTGATCTCAGGATTCAAGCCGTTTTCACATTGAGTCTGGGAGACGCTTGCCCCTCACAGTGCTTTCTCAAAAGGTTGCTTTATACCAAGTTTACTGAGCAACAGGAGCTCTCAAAACACAAGAGCACATGACATGCTTGCCATATGAAGTACATACCCAAATGTGTACCTGAACACTAGGAATAAGTCTAGTAAAGGGTGGGGTATTGACTGGGAAGCACTGCTGGCAAATCTGGCTAACAATCTCCTGTCCCCCCAGGAAGACAGTCTCAGACAACTGCTCGGCTAGGCAAAGAGCTCACTATTTATCATATATGTTCAAATATCCAAATGTGATGCAGTCAGCACAATAATGGGTTTCAGCAAGAACTAAATGAGTAATTGCTGGTTTAATATCTATGATAACTAGTCAATCATCAAATGTCAGCCACGAAATGATAGAGCACACTCTGAGACGCTGAGATCAATGGTACAGAGAAGAAGTGTGCAGGTGGAAGATGGGCAGACCGGACACAACACTGCCACCAGCTCAGGCTCCCCCAGCCTCACATCATGCTCATTTGTGTACACGAAGAGTGTGCATGTTGATTATACGTAAGTTTTCCAATCACATTTATTATGACAGTGATTGCCATAAATATAATCTTTAATTAGGAAGATTAGAAATATACAGTAAAGACTACCCACATTTCATCAGGCTAGAAAAAGTGTAACTATACCTCTGAAAATCACAGATGCTGTTACCACAGGAACAAGTAATTATTCAAACTTATAACTTCCTTTAATAAAGATAGCCTAACACAAAAATCTGTAGTTTAATAACTGCTTTTTCTCATGTGCCTAAATAAGCGCTTTGATAAGCACTCTGTCTTTTCTCAACTACAACATCCCCGAGATGATCTGGTTCTAGTCCCTAATGCTCCAATCCATTCTGCATGCCATAACCTGAGCATTTTTCCTTCAACACTGTTTCAACCACGTATTCATGCAACAAATATTTACCTGATATCTGCAAAATGCAAGATGCTGGATAAGACAAAGCTAGACTTCAAAGAGCTTCACATTCAAGAGACATATGACGAGGTACCCAAATATCCCCAAATCAGAGAATCTGCCCTTAAGCCAAAAATTATTTAGTCCATGACCCCAAAATGCCCTGGGTGCTTTCTCCTTCTTAAGAATTACACTCGGTTCTGTCTTGCCACATCTAAGTTTCTCTGCCCAGTTTTCAGTTCTCTTTAGTGATTTGACCCTTCTTTGGTTAACAAACCAACTATTATTTTTATTGGACACTTATGATATCCAGACTATATTTATTAAGTTAATTCATGTAAAGTGTTATTAATAGTGTCTAGTGATGGAAAGCACTCAGTAAGTATTAGCTTTATACTTATGGGTGGGTTGACTAATGCAGACATAACTTTCAATTTAGTATTTTAATCATCTTAGGATTTGACATAAACAGTGAAGTACAAATTCCTTGGAGGACTATTTAAAGAAAGTGATAGATTCCACTTGAGTTGCCTAGGTTATATAAGTACTCCAAAAACACTTACTTCTATACTGAAAATTCTACAGAATAGTATATTCCCCAGTAGGATAAAGGCATCTTTTGACTCAACTGACTATTGATAGTGAAGAGATTGCTAACCAAATGGCCAATACCATTAAATTCAACCAAATCTAATTTGTAGGTTGATAAAGTATCTGTAAAACAAATACTCCTGTTCAATAAACAAATTACCCCTTCTACTGATATGTATATAATGAATAGGTATTATCCCAATTTTACAGAAATAAAAACTAGAGCATGAAAAGATTGCATGACTTGTTCTGGGTCATACAATTAACAAGTGACAGAAGCAAAATATCCAGATGTCCTGAGACCTAGTGCTCTGTAGTAGACTGAATTATGTCCCCCCAAAACTCACTGATGCTTGAATTGTGTCCCCCAAGTTCGATGTATTAGAACCTTAGTCCCCACTGTGACTGTTAAGAGAGTGAGAAATCCTATTATGGCAATTGAAAGGTGGAGCCTTGAAGAGGTGATTGGATTGTAGAGACGTGCAGTAGAGAACTATGAAAAATGGTGGTCAGGGGCATGGTCCTGAGGGCTTTAATAAGACAGTGAATGAGGAGGTTAGTCTCTGCTCTCTGTTCTACACCACTTCGCAATGTGATACCCTGCTGTCACTGAAGTCACCACCAAAGAAAGCCCTCACCAAATGTGTTCCCTGGACTTTGGACTTCCTAGCCTCTGAAACTGTAAGCAGTAAGTTTGTTTTCTTATAAATAATCCAGTTCTGAGTATTTTGCTACAAGCAACAGAAATGGACTAAGACATGCTCTTTCCACCATTTATTCACTCCTTCAACTAAAATTTATCGAACCCCTACTACATGCCAGGCTTGGGAAAACAGATGCAAATCTCTTCTGTCTTGGAGGTTAAATTCTAGTTGGAGAAGATAGCTAATACCAAAAGTAAATACATAAAATATATATTGTATCAGATGGTAGTAAGTGATTTGGAGAAAAAGATCAGGATGAGGGTAATATATGACAATTTTAAATAGGGTCACTGAGATGACTTTCGAGGGAAGACCTGAAAAAGGGGAGGGAGGGAAGGAGGGAACCATGTGCTCAGCTGGGGCTCTAGGTAGACGGGTAGGTCAAGTTGCATAGCTTGTTGTAAAAACAACAAGAAGCTTAGCATGACTGTGGAGAAGAGCAAGGAGGTAGCGCAGGGAGGTAATGGGGTGAGGGAGACAGGTCATGTACGGCCTTAAAGAACACTGTCGAGACTTGGTTATTAAGCTGCCTGAGAAAGAAAACCACTGAGGGGTCTCAAGCAGTGAAATTACATGACAAGGCTTATTTTGATATTTAAGAGGATCACTGAGGCTGCTTTGTTAAGATGAGCCTGATCTGGAGGGATAGGGGTACGCAAAGCTGAAAGCAGGAATGCGGGCTGAGAAAGGATTGCAATAGCACCAGTTGCTTCTCCTTATCAGGTGTGGCATCCTCAGTTCTATGCCTTACCTCTGTTCACTAAAGTCAACTTTACTAACTGGTCAAAACCATGATCAAGTTTTTCTACAAAGTGTTTGATAATGTGTATAGTTGAAGTAGAGCTACAGTAAACAGCAGGCTGCCATCAAAATTATGTTCCCACAAACAGAACCCTCTCTTTCACTACACTCAAAAAAGTTCAGAGTTGAAAGCACTGGTAATAAGCACACAGTGTAACCTCAACCCATTCTTTAAGCCAAATTCACAAAGTATTTGTTTGGCACATTAGCCTGTGCAAACAGCACTGTTAACAGAGTCCCAGATGAGTCATGGTCACCATTCAGCAACCATTTATTGGGCACTTAGCCTTGGGGATAAAAAAGATAAATAAGACCGGGTCTCTGTCCCTAAAAGAGTTCACAGTCTAGTTCAAGACACAGACGAGTAAACAAAGAAGTATGATCTAGTGTTATGATAAACACAATTACAGAGAGATGAAGAAGGTAGAGAAATAACATAGACAAGGCAGTAATCAGCTTTGCCCCGAGGGGATCAGGGAAGACTTCACAGAGTCAAAGTCAGTCTAGAAGGTTAAATAGGAAGTCAACAGGCAGAGGAGGGGGCTTAAGGAAATGGGAGATGCAAGTTCTTGGAGTCATGAAAGAGCAATGAGTCTGTACGCTATTTCTGCAGTTACAGGGGTTAGGGGACAGGGTCGAGGCAGATCGCATTGGGTTTCATGCTAAGTTAAGCGATATGTTCTTCATTCTGTAGGCAATGGGGAGCCACAGAAGAGCATCCCAATTATATTTGGTTTTTAGGAAGATCAGTCTGGTAACAATATAGACTCAGGGATGGATCAAAGGGGAACAGAGTTGAGACAGCAAGAGAGGATAGAAAACTATTCAGAAGTGCAGGAATCAGGGATGAGGGCCTAAGCTATATGTTGCAAAGGCAACAGACCTTTAGGAGATAAAACCGATGAGATTGGCGTTAAATGAAGTATTTGCTAGGAAATACTGTATTTGTTTTAAAACCTTTACTTTGATAGAAAAATAATATAGTTAAAACCAAAAAACTCTGAAATTACATGGAAATGTAACACGTTCTATAACAATTGCAAGATACTTCCCACGGGCAGGGTTTTTTAAAACTATTTTTAAAAATAACTGTTTGTAAAGAACAATTTCAAAAAAGTTTTAATAACTGAGTTAAAACATTTCAATGGAAAAGAACACAGGTTACTTACTTCCAAACCCAAGCCCTGACAATGAGTTACTTCTTTTATCATTCTAAGATATTTCTAGCAATCTAAGTAAGTGTCTAATTCTCAAAACAAGTCCACAACTTTTTAAAACTTAACATAGGGGGCCGGCCCGGTGGCGCACTTGGGAGCGCAGTGGTGCTCCCGCCGAGGGTTCGGATCCCATATAGAGACCGGTCCACTCACTGGTTGAGCGCGGTGCGGGCGCAACACCGAGGGTTGCGATCCCGTTGCCGGTCGCGGTACAGGCGCAACACCGAGGGTTGCGATCCCGTTACCGGTCACGAAAAAAGACAAAAAGGAAAAAAAAAAAAAACTTAATATAGGAAGTTTATTAATTTTTAAAAAGTAATAAATGATAAAACATCATTTCGACAGAACTTCAATTTAATTACCAAACAAAATCATTTTTGCAATGGAACAAGGCAGCGATACAATAAGGATTGACAACTCCAGAAGAAAAAAATAATCGAAGATCAATAAAGGGCAGTCTCGCTGGACCAGATACAGTGTCAAGTGCCACTCACTGTCTCTTTCACAGAATGGCAACCCCAAAAGGAAGTAAGAAAAAAAATATTACATTCACTGCACTGAGAATATCCTTCTTATATCTTTTGTTAAGACACCAAGATAAACTCTATTTAGCTATTTTTCTGATATATGAATAACTCTCAGAATAAATAAAACTTATTTAGTTTTACTAATAAAACTAATTTGGAAGGCTACTTTGACAATATTTGCCATTTTTTTTTTCCAGGTTTCCTTAATGCCATAAAGAAACTATTCTTAAGTCCCATAATTTAAAAAAGTCTTAGTATCAAAAATAAAGCACAGCTATTTACATGGAAATAGGATCTTGACCATGGTGCTTTTAGTCCCCCATGCCATTTTTCTCCATTGTACTATCTAATTACTAATCTAATTATGCACAAGGATCCTGCTTTCTGTAACTATTTTATGGGGGGGGGGGTTGGAATGAAATTACTTTAAATACAGCCAACTCACACACTCAAGAATTGATTACCTAGTATATGGATTATTCATTACCCTTGATACCTAGTAAGGCCATTCTGTGGCCATTTTTGCAGTTGCTGGGAAGAGAGGACACCGAAATTCAAATGATTCAAATTTAGTAACATTACTAAGTCTATATGATAAAGTGCAGAAGGAAAGAGTGAAAACATTGCTTACAGCAAGGCTTGGCATACAATTACCCTCTCTATCTGCCGACCTGCCAATACCAGGATCATCAATCATGCCCCTGGCCAGCTAAATGGAGAGCTGGGACACAACAAAACATGCTCTGACCACTGACAGGATACCCCATTATTATTCCACCTCTTTGGCTTTTATTTGAGTGAGGAAAAAAAGGGAATCACAGAATAAATACCACTAGTCAGTTTTCCTTCCACAGTGCTGGAAAAGAAGTGGGTACTCATTAAATATTGTTTCACTCAATGCTAACAGCAGAGGACCATACAAAACATGAAAATGTTCTTTATCTGGACCCTTTCACCTAAACCATTCATGATACACTTTTTCACAATTTAATTTCCTTTTTAATTTCCCCTTAGATGTCTTATCTGCTCATCCATTTAAGTATGAACTCTATGACTTCAGGATCTGTATGCTATATTTCTTTGTATCCTACACACATAGTACTCAGTAAGATTCACCAGTAAATTCTCTCACAAGTTCACATGAAAAGCTACATATTGTCGCATTTAAAACTGCATTTTTTTACTATACAGGCATATAATAAAACAGCTCATGATTCATTGAATTTAACACTAATGAAGATACTGATTCATACCTTTGATTTTTACAGTTAATTAAGTCAAAACTTCAACTGCTATTGTAGCAGGTCACATCACACAAGAATATAAGAACTGATCGTTGCTCTTACCCAATACATTCTTACTTCCCTGAATACAAATGTCGATACAAGAGTTCTGAAACTTGTAATGTGCCGTAACAAAAAAATATATACAAGTGCTTACTGGTGATTGATTTGGACATATCAATATGTATCTTCTAATTACTTTTTAAGATCAGGAATAGCAGTTTAATTAGAAAGATGCACATTAGTAGCTTCTAATATTATAAAAAGATTCTCCAAAGAAATCTCAAGCACTGTAATTTTATCCTTAGTTTCTTGAGTTTAAGTGACAACATTAAATCATACAGCTATGGGTTTGTTGTACTGATAGATATCCATAAGTGTAACCACTTAAAAATTTTATTCTGATGTTACTGATAAACAATCCAGCATAGATATTCACTATCAAGAGACCTTCTGTTTTATAAAATGAATGTATATCTTATTCACACTGATAGTAGGGAATCGGTGGGTTAATGGTGCAAAGCAACGTCACCTGGATTCAGTGAGCAGGGAACAGGCAAGTAGGCTGATCTAGTAGCAGCTGCTGGAGGGAAGGAAGGAAGCCAGGAGGCTGCAGAACTGGACTCCCTGCCAACCAGAGTTCCCACAGGAGGGACCACTGATGTGAGGTTGGCTTGTTAAGCTACAGTTGCCCTACCTCTAGCTGTCACCACTTGATGGTAGTATCTGTATGTAGGGGAGGGTAGGAAGGAGAGCAGGCTTTTAGAAACCTTTGCAAATCAAAAAATGTTGATGTAAGATTAGAGACTACCGGAAGGAAGGTAGATTCTGTTGCACATGGTCTGGGCAGACAGATATAAAAGATGCTACACATTCCCATCAGACCAATGTGTCTTCCAATGAATATTTATTTGCAATCAAATCCTAATATGGCCATTGGGCATTCCTAGAAAAAACTTCAATCCTTCACAGTTTGTCTTAAAGACTTTTCCGCATTTCATCTGCTAGTGTAAACAAATGTCAATTCTGCATTTCTCCAAAGGAAAGAATTATACGGAATAAAGATCGACTGTTATAACATGCCCCTGAGACAATATGTCAAAGCTGGAAGCCAATTTTCTTTTGTAAGTAAAATATTAAAACAGAATATAATACCATGAATTTTGATCTATACAGGCAGCTTTTTAAGGATTCCCACTAATTCCATATGTCAAAAATCATATATCATTCATGCCCAATTATTTCTAAGCATCACATAAATTTACATACTATATTATGCCTCCATTTATATTCAGGAGGCTACTGTATCCCCTTATACTAAGGGTAAAGGGCACAATCTCTTATACTGTTACATAAACAAGTCCTCCCTTCCTTTTACACATCACCCCTATTCTTTACAATGACTTCTTTATTTTCCACAAGTCAAGTGTACAGTATTTGCTTCATTTACCAACAAACTAATACACAAAAATTCAGTTTCTTTCCCTTTAATGTTAATTTAGATGAAGCATCTACAGTAGAAATCCTAAAGCCACAAGCTCACATGAATACAATCTTCAACAAAATCTTGACAGTAGTTGATTTAAAGCAAAACAAGTCCCCAAAAGCAACATTTAGCAAAGGCAAAGGAATCAAAACTACACCCTTTTGCAACCACAGTACTACTGTATCCACCCGTCAAACATTTTTGCTTCAATCATTACAACCCAACCATTTACCAAAACCACAGCTTATTCCTGATTTAGAAAAGTAAAGTTCATGGACTTATTAAACTACACAACTCCAGCCAGAAAGCACAACTGGCTTTTCTAAGCCTGGCATTTATACAGCATCCGAACTAAAATCCCACATTTTTAAGCTCAGTATCAGCAGACCACTGTTGACCACCTTTCTTGACATAACAAACAACTGACATCTTCATACGAGTATTAACTAGTCCCTCTTGTGCCACAGTTTAACAGACAAGAACAAATGGTTTATAACACCATTATACTTGACGGGCTGCATTTAATTCTCAATGTGTGCAATATAATCACTGTGCCCATAAGCACATATTTAGCTTAGTTGATTCTCTCACATTTCAGCAGTTTTTTTTTATCCCAAAAGAGGGTGAAGAACAGGTCCCTGAAAGATTCTGGCGAGGTTTCTCTTGGCACGGGAAGAATGTGATAAACAGGGAAAACACAATCAAGTGGAATGTCTGGACTAGGTTTCTTTGTAGTATTTAAATAGCGCCCCCCTGCTGGGCTTTGCCACTGCACCAATGGAGAAACCATTTTAGAGCTTAACAATTCAATCTCTACAGTAAACACTCCAAGAGGAAGAAATCGGAAATTCTAAATATAAAATAGAGGTGTGTTAAGAAATACTGAAATATTTTCCTCTCTCCCAGCAGGACTGGTATGTTTCTTCACCTTGAGGGAAGCAAAACGTGCTAATCCTGGGAACAGAGACTAACACTGGTTTGAAAAGGCACTTGACAGAAATCCAAAAACTCCTTTTGGCCAAGATGTCAAGCGGAAGCCCCTGTGTGTTCATTTTCCTTAATGTCACATCTCAGCATTTGTTAAATCCAAATGTTCATGTAACTTATCAGTTTTCCTACAAGAAAGATACAAGAAGACTGTATGCAATTCTCAAAGTTAGCTCAGTGCAGTTTCAGAAAAGAGCTCCACGTTCTAACCCCAGATCGGTGTAAGATCAGAAGATGCTCTCCATGATGGTGGTTTACCACTGAACTTTCCACAAGTCACATGAGTGTGTGGATCTGATGAAGAGAGGGAGAGTGCTGAGGACAAACCACAGCTAATTTACCCTTCCTAGAAGGATACAATCTCTAGATGAATCTCGTTTGAAGAACATTTTTATTTTAAACATGTAAACGAATGAAGCTGAATTCCAATACAAAAGCAAACGAAAAAGAAACCCCTAATGGGGGCAAAAATCATAAAGAGAAATCAGTAACAGACACAAAGAATTCTGCATAACAAACTTTTTTAAAATGCTTAAATTAAAAAAAAAAAAAACGTCAAGTCACCTTTCCTGGGCTGGGTTCTGTATATCCAGGTTTCATCGTCCGCTTCCACCTGCTGCCCGCAGACCGAGAGCTCCCCATCACTGCGAAACAGCCTCTTTGTCTGCCTGGACAGGGAGGAGAAATTTATCCAACTCACAGCACGTGAGAGAGAACCTGAATTTGGCCTGAGTCTGAAAGAGCCTGAAGAGCCTTCCTTTTTCATCTTCTCTCACGTCAAAACCGACCAGAGACAAAGGACAGCGCAACGAACAAAAAGCTTGTTTTTTAAATTGGCCCGGGTCCTTTAAAGAGCAGCCTCCTTCCTACTTACGCAGACAACGTTGAGAGTCAGGCACAGGGTTATGCAAAAAGACTGCTTCTATGTCACCCAATTAAAAAAGAAAGGGGAAATGAAGGGTTAAGAAAGAAAAAACAAAACAAAGTGTACTAGCCTAGCCACATTGTGGTACTCGGTTTCTAAACCAGAAACGGCCACGGCAAAACATAAAATAAAAAATAAATAAAAGTACAATTTTTAAAATGAAGCTGGGCGTTCATTTCAGGAACACTTGTCGGGACTTTGCGAAGACCAGAACCAAGGCACTCCGACCCTTTGGTGTGTCCCTAGCGTCCCACACTGTGCCCCTAGCCCCCTCGCAGGCATCCTTCCCCGCTGGGGCAGAAAGCCAGCCGTCCGCTGCGAAGGAAGCGACTCCGCAGCCCGGAGGACAAGGCTCCGAGCCCGGCCAGCACGCAGGCTAAAGTTCACCCGCACAGGTGACGTGCGACAAACGAGAGAGCGCAGCCCGCGGTCCCAGCACAGCGCAGAGCCAGGACCCGCCCCGCGCCCTCGCCCGTCCGTGCAGCCCGGGCGCCGCAGCGCTCCACAAACAATGCCCCGGGCTGCGTGCCCGCTGCTCCGAGGACGCAGCGAGCGCTCCGGGAGAGCCCATAGGCCTTTCCCGCACCGGAGGCATCTCATTGGAGACGGAAAACCCCGCCTCGCCGCAGTCAGTACTTCACCGACTGCTCAAACTTCTGAACCCAGCAAATTGCTAGTCTGTGCAGAACACAGACTTCTGGAGATGAAAAAGGAAAAGAAAAAGATAAAGAACTGGATTATTAATTATTAGATCATACTTCTGAAAGTGTGATTTTGAGAAGGGGATTTAATACACTATGTAATTATATACACCTCCAGCATTCCTAGATGGATTTAGGAATGCCTCCTCTAAGGAGGAAATATACTCTCAAAGAGAAGAAAACTGGCCCAGCTATACTTCACTCCCAGCTTTCAGGAAAGGTGAAATGCAGCCAGTCCTGCACCTGTTGTTCCCTCTCCTGCCTGTCAGCAGCAGCCAGAGTGTGGGGCTGAGGACTGGTCCTCCTCTGCCTCCTCACTGGCAGCCCCCAGAGGTTACTCCTCTCTAGCTTTGAATGATCGTCCTATCATGAACATCATCTGAGAGTCGTGCTAATGGCAATTAACTACAGGCTGGAGCCTCCAGACTCCATTGCAAAATATCTGGAGCCACATCTTGCAATGCATTTGTGTTAAACAGAGTCATGAGCAGGTTGGGGGGGAGGGGGTATGAAAAACTGACTTCGTCCATAACTTTGCCCAGACACACCGCTTTGTGGGCAACATAACAGAAGAAAGACCCCGCAATTTAACCACGGGGGCACATCAGGGATTTTCCAGATAGAGAAACATGCGCAGAAGGGACACTTTGAGACCTTAAGTAACCTTGGGACATGCTAATGCTTATTATCTTTAAATACATATGCAATCCATAAATACATATCATTATAACAGACTGAATTATGGGTAGGGGCATACGCTCTAGAAAAAAAGATTATATAACCCCAAATGTCAATCAAGGGTGTCAATCAAGCTTACAAATACATACGCAAAATTAGTAGAATAAAACAGCTATGAACTTGCATGTAAGAGCCATTCACTGCTTGAGGGAATGGCCCACTTCTCTCTTGAAGTGTTTCTTCCTTCCTATATTTCCTATACTTGTTAAAGCTTTGCTGTTGCTATTGATTTGGGTTTCTGATTCTTCACTGACCTGAAAACGAACTGAGCCTAACAGGGATTGAGGTCCCCAGTAACATTTGGGTGTCACACTTCACACAGCGTCAACATAACTCCATCGTCCTAAGGGTGTTAAAAGTACGCGCAACTTTCCATCATAAAGGCTGGGGTCAGCATGCCCTTTCCCAAAGTAGTATTCAGAGTAAGGAGAATAAGCAACAAGTAGAGAACTAGGTCCAGAGCTTTGCTTTACTCAGCATTGATCAAATATATTAAAACTGACAAATTCAACAGAAAATAAACTTTGATTAAAAATTATAAAAGCAGGATCTTGCATTACACTCCCACTCCAATTCACTGAGATTTTAAGGAAAAAAGCTCTCTAAGCTTACCAGGACTGGAACACTTGTAGAAGAAAATCACAGAGCTTTCGCAAAATGTTCCCAGGATAGGCAGCCCATGCTGCACTACAGAAACGAGGACAGAGAACAGGCACTAGGGCTGAAGGGCGAAGCTACAGAACAGTCCAGGTGGCACACATGCAGACTCATTAAAAACTAAAAGCGTCCTTAAGAGATCATGTAGTTTATGGACAGGGACACTCAGGCCCAGAGAAGTATGTGCATACCCAGTGTCACACGGGAGATTCAGTAACAAGGACCAGGTCATGTCAGACACCACTGGGATCAGAGCTTCACCACTTACCAGCGAAGCTTGCTACATCACCAAATGCTCTGAGCCTTTTTCAGTTATCAAATTAGAATGGTAACTCTACTTTGACCACTATTATAAAGGCAAAAATAATATAGTTATGTATAATACCAGTGGCTAACACCAAAATTCAAATATCCAATGTATTCTTTCTCTTCCTCACTTTTGAAAATATCAAAATATAAAATGAATAGAAAAAAAGAGACCACCTCTCCAGAAAATACATAAACACCCTCAATGCTGTTCATATTGGCCAAGAAAGAAAATATAATGATTTAAACTAGCTTTGGAAGAAATATTTAGATTTTAACTGTCCACGTTAGATATGTACTCCAATCAGCTTAGAAAACCCCATAAGTGGGCTGTTTGAAAGTTTCTTTTCACTCAGACTACACTTATTTAGTAATTACAGTTAACCACACATTTTAATGATCTGGACTGTCAACCCAAGGGCCATACAAATCCACCCCTGTCAGCAGCAGGGCCAGGGCTACTTTGTGCCATGCTGCATGTATATCGTTGCTAATCTTCACAATAACCCAGCCGCAGAAAATCCCTACTTTTAAAGTATAATTGGCTTTTTCAAATAACTTCAGCTACAATATTCAAAGTAATAAAACATCTTAATCTAACCGTTTTTTCCCATGATAATCTACAATAGAATACACTCTACCCAGACCTTTTCAACAGACCTGCTGAACAGATTTTAGCCACGCTCCTTACTGTGCTGTGTGCTTCCCTGTCTCCCTTCTCGCTGTCAGGCTGTCAGACTGAAACTTCTGCTGTCATCACATGTGCCAATAGCTGCTCCCTTCCTACCACTTCCCACAGAGCTGAGCTTCAGGCTCTGGGAAGCAGATAAACAAGCTCGTGTAAATTATATGTTTAGTGGGACTCGATGAGGGCTCACAGAATCAAATGCACAGCTTTAGTAGAAGCACGCAGTGGCAGCTGCCTCCCAGCCAGCACCCTTGTCCTTTACATGTGGGATAGAAGCCCAAGGGTTGAAACGGCTGAAGTAGCAGCCCCTAGATAATGACCTCCAGATAGATCTGCATCAGGTTTATGACTGCCTCTTTTATATTAAGTTCTTAGCATGTGAGGGTCACTTACCTGTCACTGATGAAATTACTCTATACTATCTTATGAACAATTTAAGTAATACATTAAAGAAAAGTAAGTCTAAAAACTGAGAGGCACCAGAATATATTACTAGAAGAAGTTCCAGAATCATCTTCTTTGGGAATTACTGAGTCAAATACTCATTAACTTGGAAAGATTTATTTATGTTTCTACCAAGAGTCAAAGAGATAGATTGAATAAGTTTGGAAGGTCCTTGCCAAAAGACACAATATTTCATGTTTCAATATATACCAGCATCCTTAAAAAGGAATTTAGCTCAAATGAAAGCTCTTGATTTAATAAAAATTGTTATATACGACAGGATATAGGATTAGACAAACCCCTCAACCCCATCAGGCATGCAATTGCTTTATTTGCCATCTGCGTAAAATGCCAGCCCCAAATAAGAACTTATTTCAAGTGCCATCAGTTTTTGGCCTCAAAGGCCATAAATGAGCACTGTGACTTTTCATTTCCATGTGTACCTTGTCTGCCCTGTCAACCCTAGAAGGGAGAACAGGACAGGCAGAACTCTGAAGCTAGAGACCCATGAAGAACATGCTGGATGGTTAGAGTTGACAGGGTGGGGTGGTTTGTCTGGGAGTGAGACACACAAACAGAAGGCTTAGGGACATGGACAAAAGTGGGAAAAAACCCATATGAAGCAGTGAGGATAACTGCTCTCCACCATGTCAATTTCACAAGCAGCCCTGAGTGGGTAGGGAGCAGGGAAGTGTGCCCCTTATCAGATTACCACATGAATCACCTAGATAACCTACAGGGACCTTCAGCTTCTAAGTCAGGGTGCAGTCGGTTTCCCAACTGTCATCTCCTGTGAATAATTTAAGAGTAGATTTAAATGGAAATCTTCCTATGAGGTAATTTGTACACACTCATAATGAAAGCTTATCTCAACATCTAAAATTAAATAGTTTAAGCCAGATAACCATAACTAAAAAAACAAAACAACAAAAAGCATATTGCCCCAGGACCACAGCAAACGCCTTACAGAACACTAAATTCTCCCCAAGGACTTAAACAACTGATTGTATCCAAGAAAGAAGTCAAGGAAGATAAAACACAGCTAATGACCTATCTGGAGCCAGTCTTACTTTCAGGTTGCCCTCACCTACCACTGCAAAAGCAATGCATTTTCATTAAACCCTGGCTTTAAAAGTCACAAGTACCTTTCAATGGAATTAATGGGGTGTCCCCCTCAAATGGAAAGATTAAACACAAACATCATATTTATGTATCATTACAAGCCTAAATCCCACCTTTCAATGTCTTTGTGTCTGAAAGGATTCCGAACAGATCCTAAGCCTTAGCTACATTGTACCCATGGGATCACTTGATACAGGAGCAATATGGCAGCCCATTACTGCCCAGATCCCCTGAGGCGGAGCTCACTGCGAGAATAAAGGCAGAGAACATGAACCGTAGAGGCTTGGTGAGCAGTTGGTAATCAAGGATGCAAAGTCTATAGCAATCTTAACCAAGAAAATGTCCTCAGTCCAATGGGTTCAGATGAGAAGGTCCTGCATCAACTTCGAGGTTCTTCTGATTGAAGACCAAAAGCAAACTTATTCTAAGATCAAATTAAAATTCCAAATAAATATATTTTCTTAATTCATGACTTCCTTTGCTCTTGATTCCTTTCCTATGACCTCTCCGGTGATCACTGTATTTATTAATTTTGTCTACCTACTCAACTAGTTTTTTGCAAGCTTTATTAAGCACATAAATCAAAGGAGATGTTATTAAAAGGCAGAGTCTGGCTCAGGTCAGAAGAAGGGCCTGAAAACCTGAACTCCTAAATGCACCCAGGTAATAATGCCAGTCCAGGGACCACCTTTGAGTTGGCACAATATTAGACTATAATGCTCTCTGAGGGTAGGGAGTGCATCTGTCATCTTTGTGTCTCTTATAGTACCTTACACAGCCAGCATCTAAACAATGCTGATGAAAGGGTGAACAAGGGAACCATCCATTCATTTCCACATTACTGCTTTCTTTTGATCTTAAAATGTTTCAGGGCAAGGAGATAATTAGACCTTTATTGTAATCATGCCTTTATCGCTAAATCGCAAAAAGCAAAAGAAAAATTATAAACTGGCAAAAATATATAATCTGAATTAAAGGTTTAATGATAAATTCCATTATTTATATACTCATACTGCTTCACTTTGAGAAGAAAGAAGGTTATTAACTCATAAGCTGTATGCTTTTCATAATTTGTTAGGACATCTGCATGGCTTCCATCCGCAAAAATTCCAGAATCCAACGATCCAGCCCAGAATCCGGTGCAATCAACTGTGAGCCAAAATCAAAAAAGCAGCCCACATTCTACCTGGTAATCCACACAGGCTGAGTCCTCCTGGGTTCCACCAGGTGAATTTAATTGCTCAGTGGCAGTGGAAAAATTTTTTACATCCATTTTTCCTGGTAGACAAAGAATTTTACAGTCAACTTTAAGTGACCTTCCAAAGAGTGTATTCTATTTAATCTACCTTTAAAACTATTTTCATTATGGCTCTATAGTGCTACACTGAATACATCTGGCTTTTTAACAGACAATTTTATCAATCCAGCCTACCTTTACTGTGCTACTACATGCAAGACACAGTTAAATACTGCTGATACCAGCAGTGGTTTCCAGTGAACCAGATAAATCTTACTCCTAATGATATAGGTTAACAGAATTGGGTATAATGTACCTAAAATTTTTGAATCAGTGGCACCCAGTTCCCAAATCTAAATGTCTCCAAACAAGAAAAAAGTCAGAAATGCAAATACACATATTTAGGATTATTACAACTCCCTAGGCATAAGTATGGGAGTCATCTTCAGAAATGGGAAAGAGCACAGATAAAGGGACCAGTTCAAATATCTATTGATCCCCTGCTAGGAGATCAGCCAGGCAGGCTGATTCAAAAGCACAAAAGATCTGGCCCTGCCCTAGAGGAATTTAAGGTTGATTGTAGGAGACAAATATGCAGTTACTTTTAACATAATTCAAAAGAGGAAATACAAAAAGCAAAAAACAAGTAGGCGGCTTGAGTCAAGCCTCTGGAGATCTGAGAAGGTTCTACAGGTGAGAAATAACTCTCTGAGCTGGGTTTTCTAGCGGTCAAGGGGATCTGGCCAACCAGTGGTGTTTTGGTAAACCAGCTTGGGCTGGGGAAAGGGATGTGGGAAGCCATGATTTGTAGTATTTGCCCATTTCTACGGTATAAAGACTTCCACCAGGGCCAATTTCAAGCTACCAACAATTTAACAACCAGCCAGCTAAAATCCTGGAAATTTAAGAATGGGCTCTCACAGTCACTGCAGGCTGGCCCCAGCATACTGAGTTTGGCTAATACGATAATTTGGTAAACACAATGACTTGACAAAAAATTAATAGCTCCATAATCACTAATTTTTTTAGTATCAGTATGGGTGTAGGGGAGAAACCTATAAATGTTAACCTTATATGGAAAAAAGGTATGTAGAGGTGATTCTTTAAGGAATTTTGAGATGGGGAGATTATCCTGGATTATCTAGGTGGGTCGTAAATGCAATCACGCATGTCCTTTATGAGAGAAAAGCAGAGGGAGATTTGGGGCAGAAGAAAAAACCGATGTGACTTCAGAGGTATAGCTTGAAGGGATTCAGCCACCACAGCTAGAAGAAACAAAGAACTGCGGCTCCCTAGAGCCTCTGGAGAAAGTGCAGTCCTGCCAACACTGATTTCAGACCTCTGGCCTCCAGATCTGTGAGAGAACACATTTCCATTGTTTTAAGCCACCAAGTTTACAGTAGCTTTTATTTGTTTTTTTAAATTATAGCAGCCAAAGGAAACTAATGCTGGAGAACACCAAGCGGAGTTCTATCTTTAAGCATTTCTGTTCATTTTGTAAGAATTCTGAGATTTTTTTTGCACTCTTACACTTTTTAAATTTTCTAATTTCTTTTCAGCCATTTATTTTGTGTTTGTTTATAAAAGCAAAAGTTGGAAAACTTGGCCTAATAGGGGTTTAGTTGAAGCAGTCTAAATTGCCAACAATTGGCAATTTATAGAAATTTTTGACCAAAAATCTAATAAGGATCTGGAGATATATATGCCAAGTGTTCTGAGTAGTTGACACTGGATTGGTGACTTATTGTGTGACCTTAAGCTCTTACTGTCTGAATCTTTTAGTCTCTGTCATATAAATATGACTTGAATGAAAAAAAAAACCCTTAAAGGATTGAAAGTTTTGACATTCTACTTTTTAAAAACTCAATTTTAAGCCAAATAATGCCTGTTTTGATTGTTTAAAAATATTTGTAGCTTTGTATAAGGTAGGTCATGACATGACGAAAAATGCTACTCTTTTAGCCAAAGTGGCCTTAATTTGAAGAGCAATTTTTAAGTTACTGAAAATGTGTAGATGGCACACAGGAAGGAATCTTCAGTTACTTCAGAGTATTCTCTTTTCTTAAGACCCCAAAATCCCTTTTCCTCTGGGGAATACTGGGTGAAAATAAATGAGAATTTTTTTTTTTTTTTTAAAGATGACCGGTAAGGGGATCTCAACCCTTGACTTGGTGTCGTCAGCACCACGCTCAGCCAGTGAGCCAACCGGCCATCCCTATATGGGATCCGAACCCATGGCCTTGGTGTTATCAGCACCGCACTCTCCCGGGTGAGCCACGGGCCGGCCCCTAAATGAGAATTTTTAAAAAATATTTTTTTAAAAAAAGAGTAGAGCCAAGAAAATTTCAAAAAATTCTGAAACCAATGAGCAAATAGTCATAATGAGCAATAGTCAACTTACTTTTGGTCACAGTGTTCTAGACAGATCATTGCTGCCAGCTTGAAAAGTGTAGAGTCAGAATAAAGAAACCACAAACTTTCCTGTTTTCCCACTGTTAATTCAAGCGCAGTACTGAAATTGTGCTGTGAAAATCAAATACAACCTTCTTTGAATAGAAACACAATATTAATCAAATAGATACGGGTTTTTAAATCACTTTAAATTACCCAAACTCCTGTGTCTCTGTATTAATATAACTTATATAAAATACTTGTAATGACAACAAAAAATTCCTCCCTCCCTGCTCCCATGGTCACACACAGGCACACATACAAACTTGTATCTAATGTCTGGCCAAATGAGAAGTTAATTTTGCTGGATATGTCTAGTTTACATGGTCTCACTAATTTTTTCTGTGTGAACAACCTTAGTACACAATCATTTGTCACTAGTTTCCATTGTTTAATACTCCATTTCAAAAGGATGGCAACTAACACCTACATAGCTCATACTATATGCCCAGTTAAACAGACGGACAGATAATCACTCTGAGTATCGTAGCTTCTCTTGAGCAGCAATTTTTTCATCCGTAAAAGTAGATTACTACCATCCAACTGATACTGCTCTTGGTAAGATTAAGTGCAACATTTGTACAGTGTCTAATGGTGCCTGGAACATAGGATCTAAGTTTCTTCCCTCTAACAAAATCCATATTAAATATGTATTATTATACATATTTTATAGATGAAGACACTAAGAATAAGGTGATAGAATCACTTGCCTAAGGTCCCAAGTTCCTAGTTGGCAGACTTGAGAATTCTGCCCAACACCCAAACCAGTGGCCTTGTCTTCACCATGCTGAGGCCACTGCCCACAGGTCTCCCACCTGGGCTACCGCAACATCCTGTGTTCGCCCCTTCAAATATGCCCTCCACACTGCCAGCTCACGCCACACTCTCAGCCTCTAGGCCCTTGACCGCACAAACTTCTCCATCTGCTGGATCATTTCTCATCTTCTTCACCTGCTTAACTTTTACTTTCTCTTCAAAACTTCTGCCAGGGGCTGTCTCAATTCAAATAAGCAAGTGTTTCTCGGGCACCATATCGCTTCACTATTGCTGCATAAGAAACTACCCCACAACTCAGTGGATTCACACAATAATCAGTTATATCTTACAAGTCTGTGGGTCATCTGGAGGTCAGCTACTCTCAGCTGGGAGTGGCTCTGCCCCAATGCAGCTGTCCCTGTGTGCCTGAGAATGAGGAATTTCCTGGGGCACGGAAATTGAGTTTTAAAATGGGGGCAGTCCTGAGTACAGCAAGATGGGTGGTCACCTTAGTGGTGACATCTAGGTGTCTCTTCACCTCCTAGGACCAGCAGGCCCGTCCAAGCTTATCTGCCACAGCAACAGCACCAGAGAACTCCAGCTCAACTGCCTAAGCAAGCCTCTTCTGCATCAGGGCTAATAACATTCCATTAGCAAAAGCAAGTCACATGCCCATGCCCAACATCACTGGGGCAGGGAATTACACTCCACTCATCAGAGGAATTTGGGAGGGGTTTCTGAATCTCATCTACTATAGGCACCTGCTGTGCAAGTTACCAATGGTTAAAGATTCCTAAAACAGCATTCCTATTAGGTGCCCCTGCTATGTGTTCCCATAACATCCCATGCAGAGAGATTCTGTGCTTAACCTATCACACTTAAAATCATGCATTTGCCACTCAAGACTGTAAGCACCTGAGAGGGAGAACCAAGCCTATTGTCACTGTATGCACAGTACCTGGTGCACAGTAAGCACTAAATCAATGCTTGTTAACCTGAACTGGTTGACTAAATGTGCTTTACCATCACATTCAACCCTCTTCTGGTAAATGTACTCCAGTTTCTTTACTGGACTGTCTTTGACATTCTCCCACATGAAAGGCTGGATTCAATACAGGGATCTGCAAACTTTTTTTGTAAAGAGCCAGGCATAAATATTTTAGGCTTTGCCAACTCTACTGCACCTGTTGCAACTACTCAATTTGCCATTGTAACAAAAAAGCAGCTGGACAATATGTAAACAAATGAAGTTGGCTGGGTTTCAATAAAACTTTATTTACAAAAACAGGTGGTGGGCTATATTTGGTCCATACACTGTATTTTGCTGACCCTGAATTAGAAAAACTAAAAATGGCACTCAGAGTTGCATGGACAGTAAAAGCACAAAAAGCTCAAGCCAGTGTTTCCCCAAATGTATTCCTTAGGACACTTGTATGAGAATCACTTTGGGCTGTGGGAAGTTGTTGGATTCTATTTAGTACAGCCCTCTGGAGAGGTGACCTCTGGAATCCCCATTTAAACAAGCCTCCAAGATGAGTCTTACACATATTAAAATTTGAAAATAACTAATTTCAAATTATTACACTACAATTTCAAGTAAATATGCAGAATTAAAGTCTCTACCCATAATTTCCCTGAAAACACACAAACATTATACCACAAGTGCAGATATAGTACTAAATGAATAAAGAATAGAGAAGGATGATATACTGAAATATTATCCAGGAATATAACAAGCAGGACAAAGTGTAATGGCTTGTTTTAATTTTTTTTAATTTTGGCTTTTTTATTTTCCCATAATTTGTATGCTAACATACATTAAAATTTTTTGTTGTTGTTGTTGTTGTCTTTTTTTCGTGACCGGCAACGGATCGCAACCCTCAGTGTCGCGCCCGTACCGGACCGGGACCGGCTACGGGATCGCAACCCTCGGTGTTGCCCCCGCTCCTCGCTCAGCCAGTGAGCGGCTGGTCTGTATGTGGGATCCGAACCCTCAGTGGGAGCGCCGCCGCACTTCCCAAGTGGCGCACTGTAGCAGTGCACCACCGGGCTGGCCCCATACATTAAATTTTTAACCACCTAATTTTTAATTCAGAATTATTTTAAACATAGAAAACAAGAGAAATCAAGCGCAGATTTAATAGTTAAGAGTTTGACATATTTGTTTCAGTTTCTTAAACATAATATGCTACAGAGAAACATCCCTCCTTTCCCCAGTCTCCCATTATTCTACATTTGGTGCGTATCCCTCCCAAACATATTTTTTCACAATTTTTCTGCACATCTGTGTGTTCTTCAACAAGAGGTAGTACTGTTTTGTGTGTCAAAGTTTCATAAATGGTATTATACTGCCCAAATCATTTTAAAATTTATTTTTATAAAATAGTTTTAAACATTTTCCACTCACTCTGCAACTAAAGGAATGGTGGACTTGGTACCTCTCATAAACCAATTCTCCTGATCTTTTTCATACAACCTTTTCTGGGTAATTAAAGGAACACTTAACAGCTGGATATAACTAAAAATTGATTTCTAAATTTCTATATGCAGTATGCAAATTTGCTTAAGGTCATGGCCTTTTGTGTTTTCCCACATTACTATGTCTATTAAAATTTATGCATTGCATGAGCGCGTTTTCTTTAAAAACTTAACAAAGTTAAGCTTTCTGGGACACATGAAAACGAAACAAGCAGAATATAAAGACAGCTTTATCTTTATATGTTTTTCTCTTCAGCTCAACAGATTTACAGTCATATGCACTGCCAACTCTTCCGACAGTCTTCAAAATCTCCAAGTAAAAAGGCTATTTATAGAAGGGAAATTCAATTTGATAATGAGTACTTCAGTTGTCCCTGTGCAATTACATTTGTCAGAATCTGAAATTAATAAACTTATTTGTTAAGGAGAAACTTAGAAAACAAAAGGCCTGAAGAACACTTAAGACACTCAAAAATTTGGGGATGCAACCTTTGTTCCCCAGGGTCAAAAACGAATATGTTTAATCAAGAGAACTTCTGTTACTATGATATGCTACTCCAAGATATGCCATTAAAAAGAACTTCAAAGAAGGGTGAAGTCCCACAAATAAACACCAGGGGTTTTCCACTGATGGTGGACTGGCGTGGGTTGGGAGAGATTGGTAAACACAAATGAAAGCATTGGCAACAGAGATTGCCTGTCTAATCTCCTTCCTCCCCAGCCCAGCCACACTGTCATCTCCATGAAACACAGGAAGACCTATGACAGCAATGTGCAAAGAGCACCAAGTGAGCAAGGACCACAGAGCCTTACAGCTCTACCCTCCCTGGTACTCACTTCTGTGCTCACACCCCTGCACACCAAAGACACCAGCGACTTTACTTCTTAGGGCTGTTATGAAAACTAAATGAGAAAGGGCTGACATTATTAGTACTCAATAATTGGTTGGTTATTTGCAGCAACAGCAGCAGCAAAGTAGCAGCAGGTGACCTAATAGTCCTTGAAGTAGATGTGGTTGGTGGACAAGTGGGGGACACTGGCTAAGGCCAAGAGCAAGTGATTAAAGTTACAGCTGGTACGTACGGGGAGGGGTGGGGAGCTGGGATGCAGAGGCAGATTCCCTTCTGGGAAATATTTCACTCGTGCCAGAATCATGAGGAAAAGAACAGAGCACCCAAATTTCATCTGTAAAAACAAACTCTAAAGTTACCTGTCAGGATTTTGGCTAGTTGTGTCATTTTGCCTAGTTTTGGGGCACATTTTTCTTCCCAAAACGATGTGAGGTAATGAATGGCTCAAAGAAAAGTGTGGATTGAACTCGAGTTGTAAGGGGCGAGTCCGGTCTCAAAGTGGAGGTAAAACTGCCACCTGGTCGCCCCCAGCACGACTCCGGCCGAGGCCACCGGAGGGATGAGGGGCATAATCCAAAGGAACCAAAGCACTTGAGAAAACTGTCTGTTGGTGGTCTGAGCTTTGAAACTCCAGATGATAGTTTGAGAGAACATTTTGAGAAATGGGACACACTCGCAGACTGTGTGGTAATGAGACCCTCAAGCAAAGCGTTCCAGGGGCTTTGGTTTTGTGCCTTATTCTCGTGTTGAAGAGGTGGATGCAGCAGTGTATGCTCGACCACACAAGGTTGATGCGCATGTAGTGGAACCAAAGACAGCTTTTTCCAGATGGGATTCTGTGAAGCCTGGTGCCCATCTAACAGTGAAGAAATCTTTTGTTGGTGGTATTCAAGAAGATACAGAAAAATATAATATGAGAGACTTTGAAAAGTATGGCAAGATTGAAATCATAGCAGTTATGGAAGACAGGCAGAGAGGGAAGAAAAGAGAATTTGCATTTGTAACTTTTGATGATTATGATACAGTTGATAAAGTCGTTCAGAAATACCACACTATTAATGGGCACAACTGTGAAGTGAAAAGCTCTTTCTAAACAAGAGATGCAGTCTGCTGGATCACAAAGAGATCGTGGAGGTGGAGCTGGCAACTTTATGGGTCATGGAGGAAATTTTGGAGGTGGTAGAGGTAATTTTGGCTGTGGTGGAAACTTTGGTGGAAGAGGAAGCTATGGGGTGGAGGGGGTGGCAGCCGAGGTAGTTATGGAGGAGGTGATGGCAGATATAATGGATTTGGAGGTGGCAACTATGGCGGTGGTCCTGGTTATAGTAGTAGAGTGGGCTATGGTGGTGGTGGACCAGGATGTGGAAACCAAGGTGGTGGATACGGTGGCGGTGGTGGGGGATATGATGGTTACAAGGGAGGAGGAAACTTTGGCGGTGGTAACTATGGTGGTTGTGGGAACTACAATGATTTTGGAAATTACAGTGGACAACAGCAATCAAATTATGAACCCATGAAGGGGGATAGTTTTGGTGGAAGAAACTCAGGCTGTCCCTATGGTGGTGGTTATGGATCTGGTGGTATAAGCGGTGGATATGGTAGCAGAAGGTTCTAAAAACAGCAGAAAAGGGCTACAGTTCTTAGCAGGAGAGAGAGCGAGGATTTGTCAGGAAAGCTGCAGGTTACTTTGAGACAGTCGTCCCAAATGCATTAGAGGAACTGTAAAAATCTGCCACAGAAGGAACGATGATCCATAGTCAGAAAAGTTACTGCAGCTTCAACAGGAAACCCTTCTTGTTCAGGACTGTCATAGCCACAGTTTGCAAAAAGAGCAGCTATTGATTAATGCAACGTAGTGTCAATTAGATGTACATTCCTGAGGTCTTTTATCTGTTGTAGCTTTGTCTTTTTCTTTTCATTACATCAGGTATATTGCCCTGTAAATTAAGGAATTTTTAACTTTAAAAAAAAAAAAGTGTGAAATCCTGACAAGTTAAAAGAAATTGTTACCAGCCAGCTGCCCAAATAAATAACAAATAAAACTGCTACAAAAATAGGACAGGTGTAGCAGAACTAGATAATGCCAGTTATTTAAAACAGCTATAGAAAACTCCAAATTTGGTTAAACCACACACACACAGAATCAAAACGTGTTCCAGGCATTTCTAAAGTTTGCTTAATGGGTCATTTTTCTAGGAAAAGAAATGAACACAGTAGAAAAGTGCCAGTCACTGTAGAGCTCCATAAAAAACACATTATTGGTAATAAGTTAAGAAAATGTTTAGCTAAAAGTAAGTTACATTTCAAAATAAGGGGGGAAAAGTTAATGGTGATAAATAACCTTTAATTTATAATATAGTACAACACCAGTTAGTCAGCATGTAAGAAATTATAGCAGCTTATAGCCTGTATTTAATATACAGAAAGTGATATCACCTAAGAGTTAACTAAATTACTTAAGAATATGTAAGTATATGCTCTGCCTTTTCCAGAAGAGACATCCTCTATCAAATGAGATTACAATGAAGTGTAAGGAAAGATCCAAATCTTTAGAGTATATAGCCTGCCTCTCACTAAAGAAATAAATAGTCTAATCAAGTGTTTTGCCACCAGCCTAATAAAGGTAGAAGGGAGAGGTGGGAACAGAAGGGATGATCCGCAAGTATTTGTGGGTAGCTAGGACCCAGAGCCAAGCCTGATGCCTGGGACATACATTTAATGGAACAGCACTGCTCAGACAAGGGACATAGGATGGGTAAGGCCCAACCGAAACTGTTATCAGTGCCTTGATTCTCAACCGTGGCTGCAATCAGAATCATCTTTATGAAAGATTCTTAATTCAGTGGGTCATGGGTAGATTGGGTTTTGGGTTTTTTGTTTAGCACCTGTGTTTTTAAAAAGCTTCACGGTTTGTGTAAGGTATGTCCCCTCCCCCTCATTTAAGAACCACTAATCTCTGAGAAAGTTTACATTTTGTTTATAGATATAGCTGCCAAGTGAAATGCTAGTTTTGTTTCTTAAATGATAATATTTATAGGACAAAGAAAAGGAAGACACCTGCTATTTTTCCAACACTTAATATTTTAAAATGTTTAAAAACGCATCAAATGCTGTCACCCATAATCCTGCCAACTATGCCAATTGTCAAGCTAGGGCTGGGTCTGGAGCTCACAGACCCCTCAAGCTCGTTCACAGACTGGATCACAAACACTTCACACACCAGGCTGGGTCCCCAGACCCCTCACATGCCAGGCTGGGTCACCAGACCCATCACATGCAGGTCTATGAGCTAGGTAACCAGCAAAAAGGTCCTTGGAGCCATAGGTTCTAGAGCATGGCCATGGTGTAGCCTCCTGAGGCAGTCAGTGCCAGCCAGGTCACAGCGTTGGGCAGGTGCACTAACTCCAGCCACACACAACTTATTTACAAAGAATGTACAGCACCACCCTCAACCGGACCTAAGACGAGGGGTCCTGATTAAATTATTCTGTTTTCCCAACAAATGTAAAGCATGAAATTTGCCTTCTCTGAAGCTTCCTGTGCAAAACACCAGTGTCAAGAGGACTCCGAGTGTGACAGTCTGTTGCCATTGGGAAGGACACAACAATGGACACTGTCTCCCACAGTCATGAGGAAAGCTAAATTGTACACTTCATACTACATGTCTGTCTATTCAAGTCACAGAAGCTGGGGATCAAAGGAGATCTTAGAAATAATCCGATCATGCTCTTTCATTTTACAGATGAGGAAACAAAGAATCTGAGAGGTCATGTGCTACACTGTCATGCTGGTTCCATGACAAAGGGAATCTAAGAGGGTTACCACTGTGTGGCCCAGCACCTAGTAGCTACTCTATAAAATGTTTAGAAATTAATTGTCAGGGCTAGATCATTGCCAAAGTTGGGATCCAGAGGCAGGCACAGTTTAAAATAAATCAAAGCACCCACACTGAAAACTAATCAAGGCTAAGAGAAGTAAGCAATTTTCCAAGATCACCCCTCCCCAATAATATAAAGCTTGAACCCCATCTATCTTCACCACTGCCCTCAATCCCCAGAATCACCTGTCCATAGAATAGACAAGCAGCATATAAAGAACATTCCTTCCGAAAGTAACACAGCAAACTGATTTCTTAAAATGTGTTGTTGTTAACTTTTAATACCTGGGCTGGGAAAAAGCTCCAAAGAAGAGGAAATCAACTTCGTCAGATTTGCAACATTAAATGTAAAAGGTTTAACTTAGAGCAGATGCCTCTGTTGGAAATGACTTTTGGCCTCATCCCCACTTCATGGAAAATCATGTTTGAAATCATGTCTTACACATACAGGGCCATCCTCAAAACACAGTACAGTTTGCCTCTAGGTGACCAGCAGGTGGCAGAAGAGAACAACCCATCCTCAATAAAGCCGCGTGCAGGAGGAGAGAATTGGCTGCATTCACAGTGAGGGAGTATTTGAATTCAAACACTGGCCAAGACTGGGTTCGTAAGCAGCGAAGGATCCTGCATCACACTAAACTTTCAGGGTAGCTCATAAAATAAAATGGTCAAATATCTAATTACCTCAACAACCTAGAGGTTAAAATTCAGAAGTGTCTTTTGTACTTTTGACGGGACAGCATGGGGAAGGAATTAAAAAGAAGAAATAGTACAGAGGGCAGTGTTCCAGGCTTTACAGCATCCAAACTATAAATATCAGTTTCCCAAACTGGCCTCATCTCAAAATGACCTGGTGGTGCTTATTAAAATACAGACCCCATTTGGATCCCCATATAGACCCCATTTGGATCCCCGTACAGGCCAGGCACCCCCTGCCCCACCTTCCAAAAAAAATACAGACCCCTAGGCACCACCCCAGATGCACAGACTCTCTGGGGAAAGGATCAGAGAATCACCTGGTGGGCTTATCAGTCGAGTTTGGGGACCCACTGGCTTGGGTACCACCTGGAGGGCACGTACTCTACAATTTAATGTGTGGTCATGAGATGGGCACCATTAACAACCTGCCCACCAGTGAGGAATCATGTTCCAAGACTTGCTCAGGGTAAGTAAGAAGTTACTGGCTTGGCCAAGACTAACTAACCACTACTGCTCAGCACCCACAAGGAGCCTTCAGTTCAGCTGGGTCACCTGCAAGGGTTTCTCCACCTGCAGCCTCCCTGGCTCAAAACCTCCTTTATCCCATCTTCCCCCTCCTTGTTCATTCCCATCTCCTACTGGCAACACAAATGAATTTGCTCCCTACTTTGTATTGTCAATCTCTTTTTCCAGATAACGTGTTTTTTCCCTCTGCCAATAACACTGATCCCCTCTACTGCAAACAACAATCGGCCTCCCCTCAGTACAACTTCTATCTGGAGTCAGTACAGTCCCGGCCTCCCTTCATCAGCATTCCCTCTTCACTCCAATCCTTCAGTCAGTCCCCAGCAGCCTCATAAGTGGAGAAAAGAGGCTAACTGTGCTGATCAGCCTGACTTCAAGGTTGATCAGCACCCTATACTGGGCCCTAGTTGTTCCAAACTTTCAGGTTTTCCTTTAAGTCTTAACCCAACCTTCACACCCAAACTCAAAGATAATGTCCTTCTGAACAAAACTGAGAAGAGTCGAGGTCTGACCTTTCCCCTACCTTTCTTTCTTCTTCCTGTAAGGAAAGCTCCAGCCCCGCCTGCTGCAGCCCGCTCCACCTCTGTTCATTCTGGCCTACACACCCTGCCATGTCAACCCAACCCACAGCCCTGACCTTGTAAACCCCTGCTCCAAGCTCCAATGCTCATCAAACCCAAGCTTCTCTGCCTTCCATTTAGGCCCCCACAATAGATTCCAACCTGTCCTAGATTCTCTCCAGGCCTCTTTCCTCTGCAGCATCATTTCTGACCCTCCAAAGTGGCTCTTTATTTTATTTATTTATTCTCTCCACTCTGAGAACTCACGTGGCACCACAAAGCCTGGTCATGTAGGGTTTCCTTAGTTTGCCTGAGGTCACTGATGTCTGGCCACCTACATTATCTCTTTTCCTGTCCACTAATTATTTTCAATTCCTTGAGAAGAAAAAGTTTAACTTTGTGGGTGTTCAGGAAAAATTTATTGAATAGACAATATAAGAAGCAAGGCTGAAATACTTACCTCTCCCCTCTCAATAACATGCTGGAACAACATAAAGGAGCAGACAGCACAAAAATTTGAATCAGGTTGAGTTGGATTCTCATCTTGATTTCAACACTTTTATTTTATTTTATTTTTTATATATTTTAAACATTTTTATTTACTTTTTAAAAATTATTTATTTATTGATGATTTGAAAACAACAGCAATACCACCACCTAGTGGGATTACAAGTCAAGCAGATAGGCATTCTACATAGAAATCATTGCTATTATCAGACATATCTTTTTGAATTTGAGAATTTGCAGAATATAATCAGCAAAAGGAATAGGTAAGGACTACTGGTACCAGTTATTGAAGAGGGAGAAAAAACACTGGTAGGAAGTAATATATTGTGGCTTAAACTGCAGAAAAAAGAAATAAAATTATGGAAGCTTTCAAATTTTAACTACCCCCTGCTCCCTCAAACATAAAATAAATAAGCCAGATTATCACTTTTAAAGAATACATAGGGGGCCGGCCCGGTGGCGCACTGCTACAGTGCGCCGCTTGGGAAGTGCGGCGGCGCTCCCGCCGAGGTTTCGGATCCCACATACAGACCAGCAGCTCACCGGCTGAGCGAGGTGCGGGAGCAACACCGAGGGTTGCGATCCCGTAGCCGGTCCCGGTCCGGTACGGGCGCGACACTGAGGGTTGCAATCCGTTGCCGGTCACGAAAAAAGACAAAAAGGGGAAAAAAAAAAAAAAAAAGAATACATAGGTAATTTTTAAGAGGGACAGCACCAACATTTCTAGGTAGTTGTC